CTGGGAAGAGCATTACATATTATTGTTTCTTATTGTGACAAACAACCCCTTTCATGGAGCCAAGGATTCAATGAAAGCATAGCAAGAGAATATTGAACAGAGGAAAAAAAAACACGTAATCAAATACATTAGGAACAGTCAGTATGAGAGTAAATTATTGAAGAAACAGTAATAAAATATCTCTTCGTGGTTATTACATTTTTATATTACTAATGAAAGAATGAAGGCAAATATACATGTCCCAGAATGATGTTGCTGGATCCAGTCTGGAGTGGTCACCAGGATCAGAGGTTTAGTCCTACAAGCTTTTGGACTCATGCTGGAGTCCATTCTCAGGGAACTCCTCTCTACCGGAATGTGTAGACTGACTGAGATTGAATCGCACAGTAATGAAAGAAAACGTGGATGTGTAGATTAACATTTAAATGTTAACCATCAGAGATGATTTCTCTGGCATGTTGTTATAATCTTCACAAATGAAGCCAAACTCTTCCTGTTATTAGGATCCCATCTGCAAGGTGACTGCAGCAATAATGACAAAGTACTTTTTGAGGGTTAATGCAACATGGCCAGGAGTGGGCTTCAAAAATTTTAGCAAGGGGTTCTCTGCCTGGTTGCTGGGTGGGCATGGGCACGGTGGGCATGGCCTAGTCAGTCTCCTGCACCACGGCCGGGTGGGGGACCTTTTTGCCTTCCCCGGGCTCCGGAGGCTTTCCTCGAGCCTCTGGGAGGGCAAAAACGGCTTCTCCAGGCTTCCAGAGGCCTCTGGAGGCCCGTTTCTGGCCTTCCCGAACTTTCAGTAGGCCCATTTTTTGCCCTCTCCGAGCCTCCGTGTGCGCCCTGCACTTACCTGCATCCAAAATGGGCTGCTTGGGGACTCCTGGGAGGGGCGGGATGGGGGGGCCAGCCAGGAGTGGGATTTGGGGGTTCTCTGAACTGCACAGAATCTTAGCTAGAGGTTCTTCCAAATCCCTGCGAACCCCCAGCAGCCCACCCCTGAACATAGCTGAAGTAGAAGGAGGTCACTGGAATGCTGTACAATAAGAGCACTCAACTAAATTCAACTAAATTAAAAAGTGTACGGAATGATCATCTGCCTACTACCACTGAATGGGTCTGAGTGCTGGCTACCAAAAATACTGACTGTCCTTTAAATGCCATAAAGATGCACGTGCTGCACTGGTCATTAGGCACTTCCCTTCTTGACCACGTCAGCAATAATACGGCCAAGCAGTAGCTGGGCATTACATCAATAACAGGAAAAATAAAGGGAAAATTGCCTACATTCTACGAGCAGCACCCCATATTGTTGCCTTCATCTCCTACCACTAACAGTGAAGACAAATGTCCATGCAGGAAACTAAAACAAAAGTGGCAGGACAGAATTAATGTGAACATGATAAGTTTACCCTTGGGACTCCTGGGAGAGGCGGGATGGGCGGGGCCAGCCAGGAGTAGGATTTGGCGGTTCTCTGGCTGCTATGTTCAACCATGTGAAATACCATTCGTAGATCTGAAAAGTAAACCTTACATTGTGGGAGGAGGAGGAGGAGGAGGAGGAGGAGCAGCAGCAGCAGCAGCAGCTACACACTTCATAACTTCATCTATCTTGTTATTTTGTGATGGCCACATGTATCTTCTTTCTTCTCCAATTACTCTTTCATCAACTCCCTATAACAGTAATGGCTAACCTTTTGGCTGTTGCGTGCCAAAAGTGGGGGGAGCACGGGGGGTTGTGCATGTGCATACCCACACTCATAATTCAATGCACCCCGTCCCCCTGTGCCCCCCACTTTTGGCACGTGATGGCATGGTGGGCCCGATAGGCCTGTTTTTCACCCTCCCCCCGGCTCCAGAGGCTTTCTTGGAGCCTGGGGAGGGCGAAAACGACCTTCCCCACCCCCGAATGCCCTCCAGAGGCCAGAAATGGCCCATTTCCCAACTTCTGGTGGGACCGGAAGGCCCGATTTTCTCCCTCCCCAGGCTCCAGAGGCTTTCTAGGAGCCTGGGGAGGGTGAAAACAGCCTTCCCCACGCCCTGGAGGCCTCCGGAGGCCAGAAACAGCCCATTTCCCAACTTCCGGTGGGCCTGGAAGGCCCGAAAATCAGCTGGCTGGTGTGTGCATGCATGCTGGAGCTGAGCTAGGGCAATGCTTGCGTGCCCACAGATACAGCTCTGCGTGCCACCTGTGGCACGTGTGCCATAAGTTCGCGATCACGGCCCTATAACATGCTTTAAAAGACTTTCCTCTTCTCCTTGCCACTTTGACGCTTCCCATCAGCTCTCAGAACGCTGATTAATATTTTTACCTATTTCAATATTCTTACCGATGTCAATGTCCTTACCCATTTCAAATCCTTTAGTTTAGAAACATTTTCATTTTTCTCTCTGGATTCTACATCTGATACAATCTTCTCCAGCTTGATACCCTTCAGATTAAATGCACCACATCTTCAGTCAAGGATTGATGGTTGTTATAATTTAAAATAGTTTCAGAGCATTCATTGGAGAAGGCTACCCTGCTGCAACTTGGCTTGTAATCAAGCCGAAACACATGTCACTAAAGTAATTGCATATTTGTCCCCTTCTTCTGCTTGGCTCCCGGCTTGAGCTGTTTTCCCAGTGACAAATTAAAAACCATTTCCACATTAGTGATTTGTAACATCTTCTACTATCATCCAACATTGTCGTGTCAATATAGCAGTAATGGAGATAGGCTCCAATACACTGCAGAGACAGTTGGGTGAGGCTATAAGATGCAATGAAGCCTTAGTGAGGAAAAGGAAGCTGGGAGATGATTTAGGCTGAGTCCTAAATTATTTCTTAGGAATTTCTTAAAAGATCAGGCTTACATACTGTATGCACCACAATGAACGTGAAAAATAGGTATGTGCTAATTGTGATGGTAATGGTAAGAACAACGTTTTTTTTTTTTCCTGAAAAACCAACACCCCCAAATATTGCAGTCCTTCCATCTTTCGCCATGGGAAAGAGGAGGAAGACAAATGATTTTTTTTAAGGCAGCTTTAAAAAATACATCTCACCTCTAGAACTAAAAAGGCAAAGACTGAGAGTCTGCACAAAAGTGATCTTTTCAGTAGAAAGAAACATACTCCACTCCAGAGGTGGGTTTCAGTAGGTTCTGACCAGTTCTGGAGAACCGGTAGTGGAAATTTTGAGTAGTTTGGCAAACCGGTGGTAAAAATTCTGACTTGCTCCGCCCCCATCTATTCTCTGCCTCCCAAGTCCCAGCTGATCGGGAGGAAGTGGGGATTTTGCAGTAAACTTCCCTTGGAGTGGGGTGAGAATGGAGCTTTTACAGTATCTTTCCCCTGCTACGCCCACCAAGCCACACCCACAGAACCAATAATAAAAAAATTTGAAACCCACCACTGCCCCACTCCCTCACGAGTCCACCTCATTGTCAAGATATTTGCTTTATTTTACCGCCACAGCTGGTTCTTTTGATCAAAAAGACATCTGTTTACTGTAAATGTCAGAAAGTGAGGTGTGTGAACATTATATTAACTAAAACTGTGATTTAAAAAAAACCCTTCTTCATCCCCATCCATTTCCTTTCCCCTTCTCAAATTGGTAGACCTGCTCACTTAGGGCAATTGCATGATATTCAAGATAGGGACATTCATTACCCTCAGCATACCAATGCTGGATTGCTCCCGGTTCGCACCGGTTCGCAAGAAATGGTAGTAAAAATTTGTAGCAGTTCGGAGAACTGGTAATAACATTGGCTGGCCACACCTCCAAACAGGTCCCGGCCCAGTCGCTCCTTGCTTACCTCGCCCACCTCATCAGAGGCTTTTTTTTTACTTTTAAAAGCATTTTTTCTACAACCTCTTCGGCCAAAAAAATGCTTTTAAAATTAAAACAAAAAAGTCTCTGATGATCGTGCGGCTCAGCTGGGATCGTCAGAGGCTTTTAAAAGCATTTTTTCTACAACTTCTTTGGCCAAAGAGGTTGTAGGAAACAAAATGCCTTTAAAAACCTCTGGCGATCCCAGCTGAGTTGCCTAATGGTCAGAGGCTTTTAAAAGCATTTTTTTCTGCAACCTCTTAAGGTTGTAGAAAAAATGCTTTTAAAAGTTAAAAAAAAAAAAGTTGGCCACGCCCACCATCACATTATCCCCCACCAAGCCACGCCCACAAAATAAGCCACGCCCACAGAACCGGTAGTAAAAAAATTTAGAACCCACCCCTGCAGCATACCTTTGGCCACAGAATTGTTTATCTAATAGGTGTCTCCTAACTATCTTTCTAGTTTTTCTTGAAGCGCAGGTATCAAATAGAAAGCTGCAAAATAAATATCACAAAGCCACAAGTTATTTGGTAGGGCATATAAATAGAAAGGCAGAAAGTGAAGAGGAACTAAAGAGCCTCTTGATGCGGGTGAAAAAGGAAAGTGCAAAACTTGGCTTGAAACTCAACATTAAGAAACCTAAGATCATGGCATCCAGCCCTCTCAATTCCTGGCAAATAGATGGAGAAGAAATGGAGGTAGTGACAGATTTTATTTTCCTGGGCTCCAAGATCACCGCAGATGGGGGACTGCAGCCAAGAAATTAAAAGACGTTTGCTCCTGGGGAGGAAAGCTATGGCAAATCTAGACAGCATTCTAAAAAGCAGAGACATCACCCTACCAACAAAAGTGCGTATAGTCAAGGCTATGGTTTTCCCTGTTGCAATGTATGGCTGTGAAAGTTGGATCATAAGAAAAGCTGAGCGCCTAATGTTAGGATATGGTGCATGCCTAACAGGTTGGCCAGGCAATATATAAGCTAACATGATGAATATGTATTCTATGACTTTAAGAAGTACTGCTGAGTCATTGTAATGCTGAGTCATTGTATCCTGATTGGATAAGCTCTGTAGTAACTGTATTTAAGGAGAGCTTGAATGTAGTCAGTGTGGACATGCCACCATCCTAACCTGTTATCAGCGTGAACTTGCTACTATTTATTACCTACTGCTGTTTTATATTTTCTACTTGATCTTTTACATGGTCTAATGTGATCATGGTTTATTTATTCTGTTTTTAAGAACTTTTTATATTGTTCCTGTTTGATCCTTTTACTACAAACTGGTAAGAAGAATTTTGTATCTCTGGACTGATTATGACTGGCTAAGACTTGGGTTGATTAAAGACTATGAGATTGTTTTTCACTACAAAGTAAAAACTTTGATAAACCAGTTTATATGTATTTTATTCATTGTTGCTCTCAGCACCATTTCCATGTGCTCTATGCTCTGCTGGTTGTTAATACAACAATATCCTTAACACCTAAGTATTGAGGCCTTTGAACTATGGTGCTGGAGAAGACTCATGCGAGTCCCTTGGATTGCAAGGCGATCAAACCGCTCAGTCCTAGAGGAGTTCAACCCTGACTGCTCTTTAGAAGGCCAGATCCTAAAGATGAAACTCAAATGCTTTGGCCACCTAATGAGAAGGAAGGACTCACTGGTGAAGAGCCTAATGCTGGGAAAGATTGAGGGCAAAAGAAGAAGGCGACGACAGAGAACGAGGTGGCTGGATGGAGTCACTGAAGCAGTAGGCATGAGCTTAAATGGACTCCAGAGGATGGTAGAAGACAGGAAAACCTGGAGGAAAATTGTCCATGGGGTCACGATGGGTCGGACATGACTTCACAACTAACAACAACAAATAAATAGAAAGCTGTACGCCACTCAAATCTGGCCATCCATGGTTAGTTATACTTAGCTGGATCTCCAGAATATCTGAAAAAGTGAAAAAAAATTGTCCTTCTGTCATTAAAAACATGGGAACTGAAATTACTGAGTTTAAAAAAAATAAGATGTGATTGGTTCATATAGATATTTCGAGAGCTTCTGGAAGAAAAGTGAATCATAAATGAACGAAGGGAATTTTTAGTCTGGTTTTTTTTGAATTTCCTTCATCTATTAAATATTCCTTGGCAGTATTATCTTCCTCTAAGTGTGACATTTTTCCCTTGTCTTGTAATCTAGATGAATTCTATGTCCTTAAATATAATGCAAATGCATTTGCATTCACTTTACCTGCTTTACTTATACCAGTCTTCTTCATGGTTTTCAGGTTATTAGTCAACAACCATTGTGTACCTAAATGGTTTCATTTTGTTTATGCCACACATATACAATTCTGCCTCTTGCATTTCAACTGCTTAATCCCTATTAAAGCTGTTTTGCTCATCTAAATCCTACTGTTACATCAATTGTCTCTAATCTAGCTGGGAAATTACATGGCCACAGTTCAATAATCCCTTTGTATGTCGACTCATTAGTGTTCATCTAATTAACTTCATCCAGTGTGTGTGTGCGCGCGTGCGTGTGTGTTTCTATATTAGGGCTATGCAATTTTTCAGGGGTGAGGGATGTTCACTTTGATGAAGATTTATTGGAACCATCCCTTTAAAAAGCTTTATGAAACTACATGGCTGTCTTTCTAAAGAGAGGACCATAATGTCTTGGTTGCACAGCTTGGCTGGAAGGAAAGGGCACTGTACAGAGTTCAGAGTCTCAAAAGCTCATTTCTAACTAAGGAAAGGACTAGAAGAGAGGTTGGAAGTGCAGTCCATCCACAAAGAGGAGCGTTATTGGCCCCACACTTAAACAAAGGTAAACATACAGCTTCTTTGGCTTGAGGTGCCTCATCAAAGTCAATCCATATAATAGCCTCAACTAGATAGAGGAAGAAGGAAGAAAATTAGAAATGGAGACTGGACTGGAGTAATGTGGAAAGGAAGTTTCAGGGCTGGTGAGTGAGTAAGGAATTGTTGCACTGATGAGTAGTAAAGGCATAATGAAGAGACAGACAGGGGGAAGAGCATAGAAAATTTGGTTCCGAGCTCACCTTCCAGCCATTTTCTGCCTGTGATCCTGAGTGCTGAATTGCTGGAGGCTATTGGATTGAAAGCTTTTAGCTGGAGACTGATTCTTTTGAACACTTGTTCACTTTGTAAGTACAACCTACTCTTTCATGATGTAGATAAGAATAAAATCTGGACTGTTTCACCAAGATCAGACTAGATCCTCTGCATTTGAGATTTGTCCAGTTGAGTTTCAGATAGTATACTGACCTCAAGACTAAAGAAGGAAATAGGAATGGTGATGATATTCTATGATTAAATGACAATAGTTGTTGGATCAGAAATATGAGATCTAGTTCTGAATTGAACTTCAGTTCCTCCAGTTTCATTCTAGGCCAACTCTAGTTTAATGAAAAGAAGGACTAGGGATGACATGATAGAAGCGTTCCAATATCTCTCGGGGCTGCCACAAAGAAGAGGGAGTTAAGCTATTCTCCAAAGCACCTGAGGGCAGGACAAGAAGCAATGGATGGAAACTAATCAAAGGGAGAAGCAACTTAGAACTAAGAGGAGATTTCCAGACAGTTAGAACAATTAATCAGTGGAACAACTTGCCTCCAGAAGTTGTGAATGCTCCAACACTGGAAGTTTTTAAGAAGAGATTGGACAACCATTTGTCTGAAATGGTATAGAGTTTCCTGCCTGAGCAGGGGGCTGGACCAGAAGACCTCCAAGGTCCCTTCCAACTCTTCTCTTCTCTTCTCTTCTCTTCTCTTCTCTTCTCTTCTCTTCTCTTCTCTTCTCTTCTCTCTCCACAGAGTCCTCAAATCTCCCCAAACTAATTTGGGGATAAGAATTAAAGATCTGCTCCAGTGAAAACAACCCAATTTTATTTATTTAATGGGACAAGAGAACATAGATTTTTTTTTTTTAAAAAAAGAGGCTTTTGAAGGGTTTCCTGGAAAACAGAGCAGACCAGCTGAACTAACTGATCTATATTTGAAGGGCTGCCACAAAGAGAAAGAAGAAGGGGTCAGCTTATTTTCCGAATCATCAAAAGGCAAGACAAGAAACAGGATGGAAACTAATCAAGAAGAGAAGCAACCTGGAAGTAAGGAGAAACTTCCTAATAGTGAGGACAATTAACCAGTGGAACAGCTTACCTTCAGAAAATGTAGGTGCTTCATCACTGGGGGTTTTAAATAAAAGACTGGACAACCATTTGTCAGAAATGATATGGGGTCTCCTGCTTGAGAGGAGTAGAAGACTAGACTAGAAGACCTCCAAGGTCCTGTTCAGCTCTATTCTGATTGATTGATTGATTGATTGATTGATGATATAGGCAGGGATCAGTCAAATTGATGCAGGAAGAAAGGCAGCATTAAAGTGAACCACGTTCCCATGTAACAGGACAGAAATGCCAGCCATACACACTTGGGAGATTTGCAGACCCAAGGTTGCCTCAGCAAATGTTAGCAGCCAGCATCCTGCACCATAGCACTAATGGATAGCCATAGGTCACAGGACATCTAAAGTTCTCTTTGCTCTCATGATCAGCCCGATTTTGGTAGGTTTCTAAGTTCTGACTTGAATATCTGGAACCAACAATTTTAAGTTTAACATGATGCATTTGCTTTCTTCCCTCAGGAAAGTCTGCTGTGAATTCTTCTGTAGAATTTGTCTTCAGTAAATCGGATATGGAAGAACTTCAAGGATTGTGCCTCGCCTTATCTGAGAAGTTCCAAGGCACGAATGACAGTATGCTCCACTGAAGACATCCAGTCTGTTCTCCTGTACCTTCCCCCCCACCTGCCCCCATTGGTATAGTTTAAATTGAAGAGACCAGAGTTCTGCCATAATTGTGTTTTGGACATTTTTTTAAAAAGAAAAAAAAAACCAGATGTAGAAAACACCCTAAACTTTATTTTATAAATAATTTTAACCTGAATAAATGAGTGAGCTCATGAATAACAATCAGATGCAGTTTTGATTATATAACATGCTTTGTTTTTCTTGTTCTTTCTGTGCAACAACCGTGCAAAGATTTCAATGCTATTTCCATTTTTAATGAACATTCCCTTCTAAACTTTCAATGGATGGAATTTATTCTTCCCATATAAATGGTTGAATTAGCCAGTCTTCTGCCAGTCACTATGTCCACTCGCCAGGAAGCAAAAACTATGCTCCAAAACATCATTTTCCATTTCTTAGTTCCAGTCAAAACTGCTCTCCTGCAGTTTACAGCTCTGCATGAATTCTTTAAGCTGTCTGAGATCATCTTATTTTTCCTCCAACTACTCAAGTTCTTTTTAACTTCTATGCCTGCTCTTTCCCTGCATTTTTTTTTTTTTGGCTTGAAAACTCATTTGTTCTACTTTCAAACTCTTCTGCCAGTCAGTTTTCTTAAAATTATGTTTTCATTATTTCTACCTTTTTTCAGGGAATGCAGTGGTAGTCCTTTCCTAGCACTCAAATCATGTCAAGAAATATAAGTTCCAACGTAATGTCAAGAAAACTTAGGATCCAAAGAGCTTTCAGTGAAAAAATGGAGAAGTCTGGCAAATTTGAAAATATACCAGTGATGACAGCCATTCCTCCTGAAACCATGGCAACACCACTGACACGTGTCATGCACAGAACTGCACGCTAGTAGCATATATACACATGAAAACAAATGGAAGGAACTGAAATACTGATCAGGATTGCGTGTTCCATTGATTAACTGCTGCATCAAAACCACTGCAACCGCCAGCTTATAATACCAGGGAAGTTATTAAATGGCTCATTTTTGTTCACCCTCACTCCCCGATTATGTCTGGTAAAAGCTGACAGTTGAAGCAAACTATTAAGGCATAATTCTGCACAATTGTTTTGTGTGAAAGAATCTGATTGTAGGCTCCCAGTGAATGTAGTTAATGAAGCTCCCGTCATCTTTGACTTCTTGGCCATTAGAATTAGGTCTTGATTTTCCCTCACAGAGCAGTGATTATTTTTACATAAAGGTTTCTTTTGGGGAGCGGGTGGGGGGAGGCTGGCTTCCAAGCAAGTTACATGTCCCACTAAATTATATGCTAAATTAATGTGGTAATGTTGTTGCACAAAGTAGCTTTCCCTAAGAATTGTGTTATGCATGTACAGATAGTCCTCGACTTACAACCACAACTGACTCCAAAATTTGTTACTGAGACAGTTGCTAAGTGAGTTTTGCCCCGTTTCATGATCTTCCTTGCCACAGTTGTTAAGTGAATCCCTGCAGTTATTCAGTTAGTAACACAGTTAAGTGAATCTGTCTTCCCCATTGACTTTGCTTTATCAAGTTGAAAAGGTGATCGCATGACTCTGAGACATTGCAACTGTCATAAACGTGAACCAGTTGCCAAGCATCGGAATTTTGATCATGTGACCATGGGGATGCTGCAACAGTCATTAAGTGTGAAAACGGTCATAGGTGTTGTGGCCCGTCAGCGGCCTGTGCAGCTCATAGCTGATTCCGACAGCGAGGAGGCTGGTGTGGTGCTGCGCCAGCAGCCTGTGCAGCTGACACTCGAGTCAGACAATGAGGAGGTTGGAGAAGATGTGGTACCAGAGGCGGGGATTCAGCCAGGGCCTTCAGAACCTCCAGAAGCTCCCAAAAGTGAAGAGGAAGAAGAGGAGGAGCCTCTTCTCGATGCATGGGCGCGCAGAGCTGCCAAAAGGCAGGAGTGGCTCCTCAGGAGGAGGTCTCCTCCAGAGTAAAGCTTGGGGCTAATTGGCCACTCCCTTAGTCTATTTAAGGAAGGACGATGACTGAGGCAATTTGCAGGGAACAACTTCATTCACTCTCCTTCGTGTCCTGATTTTAGTTCTCTTATCATTTTCCTGCAAATTGTTTCTGGGCTTTCTGCCAACCATAGTAAGATTACGGTTATTTATTCTTTGGATTCTTGTAGGCTGTTAAGAAAGTTAATTAACAGCCTTTATTTGAAAAAGACTGATTTAATTTAGTAAACTAAGGTTTGTACAGACTTTGTGTGTGCTGCGTTCTTTGGGGTCCGTAGCTGGGACAGAACAATAGGTCACTTTTTTCAGTGCCATTGTAACTTTGAACAGTTACTAAATGAATGGTTGTAAGCCGAGGACTACCTGTATACTATATACATATAATTTGACAGTTCCATGCCACTTCCAAGCTTGTTCTGGCTTGGAGTGAGAGAGAACAGAAACTATTGTCAGTTTTAATGTACACTAATCGGCATACATTAAAATGAAATTTGGTTGCATACCAATCTCAAAGAGTCACCACCTCCAATATATACTATATAAACATAACAATAAATAAATAAATACAAAATCATGCATATACCCACATATTATATGACACAGAGAAACAACACAGTCTAGTTCGGATATACTGTATACATGTACATGGCAAGAAAAACAAATCTTGTGAGTTTACCAGACAGATGGCATAGGGAACGAAGCTGTAACAGAACAGGTAGTCCTGCTAGAAATACTTCAAAACCTTCTCCCAGTGGGAGCAACAGAAATAATATTAATCACTTAGAATAATATTAAGCTGAATAGAATAATACTTAGAATAATATTAAGCTACAATGAGGCCATATATGTGATCTGGCCAAGTTTAAGGCTCTGTTTTTCTCCAGAGATATTATCTCAATAATGTACTATCATATAGAAAGTTGTTGTTGTTAGTTGTGAAGTCATGTCCGACCCATTGCGACCCCATGGACAACATTCCTCCAGGTCTTCCTGTCCTCTACCATCCACCCATATAGAAAGTAGCTCAGGCAAAATCTGTTTTATGCACGCCTCTACTTCAAAAGTACAGTTAACCAAAGGAAAAAAAAAGAGGTATACTGTACTTCTTTGCAAGATTCTTGTGGTCAGTAAGTAACAGAACTTACCAAAACGCTCCAGAAGTTTATACACATCAACTCGTAAATTAACTCATCACACTTGTAAATTTTTTATTTATAACACATTAAGTCAGCATTCAACAATTGCCCAACTTCTGAACAATTGGTTCTAAATATTTACATATTTATTAGATTTCTCTAGTCACCCATCTCCATCCCAATTGATTGTCTTTCAACTGGAGGGCTATTCTATCTGAATTCCATCATTTTTCAAGTATAGATCATGCTGCTACTGCTGATGCTATGATGACAATGGTGATTCTGTTTTTTTGAATTGTTGACTTCACATAGTTCTTGGTTTAAAATTTGGGCTGTAATTACTGCTTTTAACAAACCTCTTTGAATGGATATGACAGCCTCCTCCATATATTTGCAGTTTGTCTAATGGCTCTTCAGTTTATGAGAATTTTCCTTCCACACATGTATTAGCATCTTTGGATTGACTTTGTAAGAGATGATATATAAATGTATTCATCCTTCTAGTTAAATAATATAATCGGATTTTGTATGGTGATCATTAATGATCTATCCAACAGATTAACTTCTTTTCAATTGGATTTTTAATAGATAACTACTAAATTCCAGGCTATTGTGTAATTATGCACTGGGGAAAAGTTAAATATTTTATAAGTATTTTGAAACAATCACTTTTTGTTGTTAATTGGTTTGATAGAATATATACTGCTATTATTTGCATGTCTCTTGCTAAATTCATTTAATGGTTAATCTTCTCCAATCCTGTTATTCAGACCTAAAAAAACTCCAAGCCACTTTTAATATGTGTCTGGAATACCGATGGTCATATTAATATATGTATAAGAATTCAGGTACAATGCGTCACATTCAGATCCTGCTGATATCAAATTCAATCTTGTGTCCTCTTGAGGATTGTTTTCATTTTCATACAGTGACTAAATATATGCCAGCAATTGTGAAGAGATGTCAAAACAGGTAAACTGGATCTATAGAAACTTACAGATGAAGTTTCTATGTTGTGAATTTGCTACACGTTAGCATGAATTGGCTTTCATTTGGCCTTATAATTTGTCCTGTGACACACAAACATAATTAAAATCAACCACATGGAGCCTTCAGATTGTCAAAATTATTCTCCATGTATTATCAAGAACATTTTATCAGCAAATACTTTTAATCCTTATTTATGTTATCCCTTATTTAAATCGTTATAATTCAAATGTGGCATAAGATCTGCAAGTCATTCTTGTACAGATTTTGACATCCAACAGAAGAACTTGTTCATTGTCAATATTGTGTGTTTCAAATATTTAATGGCACATCCAACATCCAAATTCAGAAATAAAGTCAAATATGCAGCTAAAAACATACTCAGTGCTATTTTTGCATACAAGATGATTTTAAGAAAAAATAAAGAATAAAATATATATTTTTAAACAAACCAATGCATGGATAGTTAATAAACAAAAAATATTTATATAGAAGAATTGTCCTTCTACAAGCTATCATACATATTTATTAAACCCTGTAATGCTTCTAGATTTTCCTCCCAGCTGCACTATTTCTTTATTAATTTTTTATGCCATCTTCTCTGTAAAGTGATTATGGGCAAATAAGCAGTCTTCCAGATATAATGGTAGCAACTGGAAATTATTCCAGTTGAAATTTCACAGATTTATCAAGATTGTTGCACAATGCCCATAGATAACTCTGTCCGAGTTGAACTATTTTCCATTTAATTATTCACATTCATTAATAATCATCTGTTTTAAACCATGCATAGCCTTTGATCCTGCACATACTTAATTTGTTATCTGGATTACAATAGTTTATTGCACTGACACCAACACCTTTAACATTATAGTATTGAAGATTCTCCATCCATAACCTACTTTAGTATATGACTAAATTCTGGCAGCTTGGAAAATACCAAAATTAAGAAGCAACATATACTGACTAACTACAGTAGATAGACATTCGGGAAGGGCTGCCTGGATAAGTCTAACTTCAAGCAACCAGAACAAGTGATTGATAAATGATAAACCAAGGTGTTTGGTTAGGCCTATAGGAGGTCTCAAACCTGTACATATGGATATATGAGAAAAACCATTTATGATTTATTATTTAGTGACAGCTTCTACTGTGAATCAGAAGGAGTTTTCTGACAAATAAATTTTATTAAAGGGCATAAGCTCACATGAGTTGCAGCTCACTTCATCAAATGCACAGAGAGGCTAAACTGATGCAGGATTTAAATTGGGATGAGGTCAGAGGAGGGAAGAGAGGGGAAGACAGGTTAAGTATGCAGATAGAAGATACACGCAAGACAGATTACAAGTTCCCTATTAAAAAATGTAAAACATAATTCAACTTGCCAAATCTTATACCTTTTAATAAAATTTGTTAAATGGAAAATGTAGTACCAAAACCCTTCTGATTTTTGGATTATCATAGCTCTCCTCCCACGCTGTGAAGTATGACAAGGTTGTTTCTTTTCCTTTACACAACTGTTGTACTACAACTCCTATCATGCCCAGCTTCCAAGGTTAGCCAAGATAAGGCTTATAGCAAATCTAGATTAACAAATCTAGATTCTAAAATCTACATTGGAGGCTTTGCATATCTCTATCAAATCTGCTGTCTGGGCTAAGACGTTTACCAAGTTTCATACGCTTAGCCATAACCAGATAATCCACGCACAGGGACTAAACCTGCAGTTTCTTTTCTAGTCTAGCACCCAGGGTTGTGTTTGCATATGCATATGTGCAGCTCTGTCTAAAAAAATAAATAAATAACAATAATGCTTGGGAAAGGCAGTAACATGAACTTGACTTCAGGCAGTCCTTGTTGTTTCCTTGGCAGCAGTATGGAAATGGTGGGCTACCACCTTCTTACCATATTCCCCAGAGGTCTTTCATCAAAGTACTAAGAGGGCCTGACCCTACTTGGCTACCTAACTCAGGCTATGCCAAGCGCTGAGGCATGAATGGGTGGGCAAATTAGAATTAGTCCTCCTCTCAAATAGTAATAAATGTGCCAGTGATCAATGTGAATTCTCCTTCTCTAAAACTGCTACATAATCTTTACGTATCCTGACTGCTACACGCACATTCACTCACATTTTCATCTTACTATTTCCTCAGGCAATGGTAGCATTTTTGGAGTTAAGGTCATGATTTCTGAGAAGTTTGACCCTGACTATGCTGCTAGCAATTTCTTCTTCTTCTGCTGCTGCTGCTGCTAAGGCTTGAATGAGGAACGGAGCGGCCCAAATTTCTGGAAGAAATCCTCCTCGGCACGGACCAGTGCTTCTTCATCAATGTAGATGGCTGCTCTTCTGGAGGCTACAAAGTACTGCACTTTTCTCAAATTCCATCCCAGTACATATTTTAACCAGCCACAAATTGCAGCGGTGGACCTACCAACACCTGCGTTACAGTGAACGTAGACAGTGTGGCCATTCTCCAGAAGCCCGTGCAGGAGATGGACAGCCTGAGGCAGCATCTGGACTCTTCCTAGGATTAGAAACAAGATCACTGTCAAATGCATGCTCTCCCCCAACTCTCTCTTGGATTATCCAGTATTCCTATTAAGCAATAAATTTTTCTTTTTCTTTTTCTTTTTTTTTTTTGAGTAGCAGGGCATTTCAAGCAACACAGTGGCCTCTAACTTCAGACCACCTTCATTTTCTATGAATCCCTCCTAAGCCAAACAGAAAAAGATTGTGAGCAATAAGGCTATGCAACAGGTCTGATTCCGTTCCAGAAAGCATGATTTGCAGAAAGAAAATTAATCAAGCAACAAGCAATCCTAAATGATTGGGATTGGGATTCCAAGTGGCAGAACAGCAGTGTAGAAATACTCCAAATATCTACATAAATATCTGTGGTTTTTTGCTAGCTTTGACTCAAGTCTTGACTCCCGGCAACTGCCCGGACAAGTTTTCTTGGCAAGATTTCAAAAATAATTTGCTCTTGTCTTCTTTCTAAGGCTGAAAGAGAGTGACTGGCCCAAGGTCACTCAGCTGACTTGGTGCCTACTGGAACTCACAGCCTCCTGGTTTCGAGCCTTGTTGCCTTAGCACTACACCAAAGATATCTACACAAAATTTGTAATAAAAAGATTTGCAGTTTCTTTGGGAAACAATTTGATCTATGGATTCAAATATGAATGCATTTAAATTTCTTTTAGCCATCTTAACATTTTAAAACAGAACTAAATCCTTTTTTACTGTTAGATAGTCCTGTTTTCTAGCTGAAAAATATGTTGTGAACCAAACAAAACAAAAGTGAATGATTTCTAGGTGGAAGAGGCTAGAGTGATGAGCAATGGCTAGGTGAAGATACTCCTACATACAGTAACTTTTACCTTTAGAGGACAGGCAAGATATAAATGTAATTAAATAAATGTATAAAACACACCTATACAGATAGATATTTTTGCATGCACATATTCTTGACATTTCTTGCAAAATCTCTAATGATGGATGACACATTGTAAAAAATCTGGAAGCAGCATATCATCTGTGGATTGCTACCTTTGTTGCAAAAGAATCAAATAAAAATAATATTAATGCTAAATAATTCCAACAAATCTCAAGTGCTTGTTTACTTTAACAAAAGTGATAGGACCAGCCCACTGTTTTCAAAAGATAATTCTGCTTCCAAATATATGCTGATTAGATATATTTTAGATATATGAATTATTTTTTTTTGCTAATGCATTAACGCATTTATTCATTATCAAGACTCTGCACAGAGAATGCTTTCTTCCTGTTCAGTTATAAATTAGACACTCTGTGTACTTAATGCAAATCCGAAATGCTAAATTAACCATGATCTACATTATCTTCCATATAATAGAGGGAGGTGAGAAAATTGTGGAGTTTGTTTTAAACAATGTATATATGACTTACGGCACTTGTGGTTGAAGTTCTTATTATTTTGTTTTTTTTTAAAAAATTGTCTGATGTACATAAGAAATGCATTTCAACAATTGTGAATTCTGTTTTCCCCATTTCACATGATACAGTATGCACTTTCTAACTTCATATCAAGTTCTGTGGCATAATTAACATTCACATCATTATTATAATGCCTGAATCCACAAAAGGTATTAAATATTCATAGGCTTTATAGTCTTTTGTATTGTGTAATACTATTGTCATACTATGTATTGATAGATGGGACTGACCTTGGGAGACAGGGAGAAGAGCCAGGGCAATACTTGGATAAGAGGCAGCCTAGCCTCCAGCAGGAATGTAAGCATGGCATATGCCTCAGAAGGGATCCTCCCTAGATACTTGGGTTTTAAAGGTGATGGAGGAAAGATGCACTTTCGACTTGCAAGATTGACGTTGGACTTGCAAGATAGTCTAGACAAGAAACACACTCAGAAGAACTAGCTTTACTTTATTGCAGGGGTGTCAAACTCAATTTCATTGAGGGATACATCAGGGTTTTGTTTGACCATGGTGGGGCAGGGTGGGTGTGGCCAGGGCGGGCATGGCTAGCTCGAAGTCACTCGTGTCGGGGGTCCTGTGGTGGCCCGAGTGCTCTGCCAGCAAAAACAGACTCCCAAGCTCTGTTTTCGGCTGTGACGGCTTCCTGCAACCCTCTGCCAGTGAAAATGGAGCTCCAGAGGGCGGACCTCCCGAGCTCCATTTTCACTGGCAGAGGCACCATGGGCCGGTCCTTTGCTGTTTCCAGGGTGGCCCCGCGGGCCAAATCTAAGCACCCCATGGGCCAGATCCGCCCCCCAGGCCTTGAGTTTGACAATCCCTGCTTTATTGTAAGGTTACATTAATAGACTCTTGGAAGTCTGAAAGTACATTTCTCTTCCATTGCCTTTGCATGGAACCAAAAAGAGTCCCTTCTGAGTCCCGTGCCCACATTACTTCTGCAGGCTAAGCTGCCATTTATCCAACCATCGCCCTGGCTGCAAATCTTCCCCTTCTCCCATTCCCACGTACCATTACATTTGCCTGGAAGGCTGATGTACGATTGTAAGAGAGGGACTAACATGTCACAAAAAATAGTTAGCAGGAGCTTGTTTTGCCCTTCCTGCCTCAAAGCCCCAACCCAATTGCTAGTTATCCTGACATTGCGGAAACAAGAGGAAAGGAATTCTGGTGCTTCCTATCAGCCAAATAAATAAGAATCTTGAACTAGTGGAGCAAGAAAATCGCCAAGGGAAGACTTGCCAGTATTAGATAGAAATACTTGCTAACAGCATTAGCAGTTTGTTTTGACCTTGGAAAAACTGGGTTTTTTTTCCTTCTCTTGTGTATCTTGTCCTTTTCAATTTATAAGGTTGATGACAGGATTCATTTACCTATCCCTCTTGTCTGTGTGAGAGACAGGAAAAGAGAACTGCTTTGGGACACAAGAACTAAGAAAAACAGAAAAAAGAGTACTAAATAATGAATTTATACAGTAACAGGCTATTCTATCGTAGTAACTATGGTGTGGTGAGTTAATGAAAGGAGTACAGATTTCAAACTGATGATAAGTGTAATATTTCAGAAAGGCTGAATTTAGGAGTAATTTTAGTAATTAATCTATTCTATCTATTATCCATAATGCTAATTATTAAAAGTTAAGAATGCATCATAGCATTCTTCTATTTTTATTTCTTTGTCATCTTAAGCTTTTCACCAACAAACGTAGCATTTCATTCACTATATTGCCTGAAGTTGCTTATAAATCACAGTCTGGAATTGCAGGTAGGAGAAATTATTTTGGATTTCAAAATCTGAAATGGGCTTCCCTAAGACAATAGATAAAGGCCCTTTGCAGAAACCAAATTGTCACAGAATACTCAGTGGCTAAGACGCTGAGCTTGTCAATCAAAAGGTCGGCAGTTCAGAGGTTCGAATCCCTAGTGCCACGTAATGGGGTGAGCTCCCGTTATTTGTCCCAGCTTCTGCCAACTTAGCAGTTCGAAAGCACGTAAAAAATGCAAGTAGAAAAATAGGGTGGGAAGGTAACAGCATTCTGTGGGCCTTTGACGTTTAGTCATGCCGGCCACATGACCACGGAGACATCTTTTTTTTATTATTATTATTATTATTTTTAACATTTTATATTTTAAATTACTAACATTACAAACAACATATACAATATTTCACCCTGTGCTATACATAAGAAAGGAAGATTTGGTTCTTCGGATATATCCTCATGATCGCCAAAATCCACGTTCTCGGGGTACAGATACCGAAGCATCCAATTTTCCCAGCGCATAGTCCACAAATGGTTTCCAAATTTTCCAGAAAATATCTTCTTTATAGTCACCATTTCTAATTTTAATATCACATGTCATTTTATCATTTAAAGCTAATTTCCACATTTCACAATACCATTCTTCTATTCTAAAATTCACATCTAATTTCCAATATCTGGCTACCACGGAGACATCTTCGGACAGCGCTGGCTCTTCGGCTTTGAAACGGAGATGAGCACCACCCCTTAGAGTCGGGAACGACTAGCACATATGTGTGAGGGGAACCTTTACCCTTTACCTTTTATATATATAGTCAAGAATTCAGGAATAAGAGCCTTGAATAACATGAATTTATTTTACCTTTCAAGCATGGAGAATTTATAGAATCTAACCTAACATATACAGGGCATTTTCTTATGGCAAGCCTGGAAAGGAGGGAAGACTGAAGTTGCTACAAAATCAGACATCTTTTACCTGATTTATAAGCAAAAGGTTCCATTTTAGCAACTATGGATTAAGCAGATGGGGTTAGGTTCAGCAGAGAAAATGTAAAAAATGCACCAATGTGCGTGAGGCAAGAGAAAATAATTCAATGTACACGAAGTACATATTTTTCTAATTCACATACATAGTTCCAAAACAAAGCAATTCTGTTCCCGGCATAAGCCTAAGTAAAATGCAATATGCTTCCTCAAACTGCAACTCTTTTTTCGCTTGCGTTCTTTGGCAGAGCCCATTTTTTAATAAAAGAATCACATTCACTAATAAAAATGTAAAAATTCAAGACTTCTGCCAGCAAGAGAAAGGAAATAGAGGTACAGAATAAGCAAGAGGACATAAATGAAATGGCAAGCCTAACTAGAGAGTGTCCCTTGGCAAATGTCTGAAGTCTGATAATAAGAATGTGAAGAAGACTGGAGCATATTCAATGCTCATATTTCTTCTGATTTTGCAAGAGGTGAGGTCTTATATTCACATGAAAAACTACTGCTGCAACTAAAGGCCATGTTTAAATCATACTACAATACAAGCAGGTTTCCCCCCCCCAAAATGGAACTCTGCTCAAATTTTAACTACTTAAGCCTCTTACAAAAGGTAAATACTCTGCAAGTGTTGATTATGATGAGGTGCAAGATGGAGTAAAGTTGACCTCTCTTCTTTCCTCAGAGAATAACAAGAATACATTAACCCATAAGGAAGCAGACTGAGGTGAGGGGTCACAATATCACTGATTCCCTACTCCTCAAGGAACACGGAATAGGACTATTCAGTGTTCAGTGCTTTAAATAAAGATGTATTCTACTTTCGTCCCAGAGTATTATATCTCTAAGGAAAGTTCAATAACAACAATGACCTTGGGAGTATATGCTGATGGAAGTGCATCCTCCTAATAGGATTAGGCAGGAATTAGACTTCTGTGTCACTGCACGTCTGGGAATGTATGGGTCTGTCATTTGGAGATGGTTACCTAGCTATTGCATTTATACTTCTGTGAATGTTAATGTTCTAGCTAGGGGGCGCTAAAACAACAAAGCATAGAAAACTTCCCAAAAGTCAGATCAACCAATCAGCATGCAGGACATGCATCTCTACACAATGCATAGTCCAAATTTGGGAGGTGTGTACGTCAGCTGGTCTACAACCATCTGCAACTTACCCATCAACCCCTTTGCAGTGTAGGTATGCGTCAGTGGTGAGATTCAAATTTTTTAACTACCGGTTCTGTGGGCGTGGCTTGGCTTGGTGGGTGTGGCAGGGGAAGGATACTGTAAAATCTCCATTCCCTTCCCACTCCAGGGGAAGGTTACTGCAAAATCCCCATTTCCTCCTGATCAGCTAGGACTCAGGAGGCAGAGAATAGAGGAGGGCGGGGGCCAGTGGTGGGTTGCCCCCGGTCGGACTGGTCGCAAGAACAGGTAGTAAAACCGGCGGAAGGCCCCACCCACCGCCCTGGATGTCATCATCAGTGATCTGTGCATGTGCAGAAGTTTCTGCGCATGCGCAGAAGCAAGGCACATGCGATGCTTTGCTCACACGTGTGATCTCGTTGCGAACCGGTGGTAAAGGTAGGTAGAACCCACCCCTGCTTTGCACCCTAAAAGAGAAACATCTGTTGCTACCTAGGATTGAACTCTCAACCTTCCGAGTGGAAGGGGACCATCTTTACTGCTAGGTCACCATGTTGCTCCACCACATCTATATATATAAATTAAATAACTATACACTTTTAGTAGCACTGATAGAAATTAATTATAGCCTATTGAGTAAACACGGTTTTCTTACAAACAATACCATCATATTATTAATCTCTACCATAAAAAAAAGGTATTTCCTTTAAATATTGCTGAATATTTCATATAGTCTTATGAATACACAATTCATAATTAGCTATTATACTTAAAATAAACTCTTATGAGATTTGCTTGTTAAATCCTTAGGATTCTCCATGAGTACCATAATGCAAACATCCGAGATTAACAGTAAATTTGTAAAGCTATATTATTCAACTATATCACTGAATGGATGCTTTCCTAGAGATGGAATGTGAATATTACCTTCAGTGCTCATGTCTGGTGTTGGCATCCAGACATAAGCAAGACCTTCTTCTTTGTACAACTTCATGAGAACTTCTGGGCTCATTGGTTCTGGATAGCGGTTGCATCCCCAGGAATTCTGAACCACATCCCATTCAGTCTGGAAGTTCATTATGGCTGTAATGCCCAACTCATGTTTAAGTTTGACAGTCACATGTTCCACTTGACGAGGGCAACTTCCTAACCACAGATTTGGCAAAATCCTGTTCAAAGGAAAAAATATTGAACTAATGAATGTTAAAAGACTTCAGTGATTAATCTAAGTCAGTAACATGATTAATTGAGGGGTAGTCATTTTCTACAATTCATATTTAAATAAAAAGTTACCAAATACCACTAGGAACTTGAAATTCAAGAAAGGAAGGAAAGAAAGGAAGAATCACTTGTACAGACTAGAATGAACCCCCTCAAGCCAAATTCAAGGCTTTCATGAAGGACAAAGAAAAATGTATTTCCTAATAACACTTTCTAGCACCCTAAAAAGTCCACTTCATAGCTGGTCAGATCATTTTTCATACATTACAACAACTATTACTTATTGGACACAAAATATAACATTAAAACTTAAAATTTTATACATTAAAAATCTGCTGTCAAATTTTGCACAGAGAAATCAAGTAAGGGACCAATATTTGGCTACATTAACATTTAGCTGAATAATCTTGTTATTGATACTTAGTTCAGTTATTTGGGCTTCTAAATTAGACTGCTAGTGAATTACTTTGGGTATTGTGAAATAGGTTATTAATCACTTGTATTACATTATCATTCACATTCTAGCAATTTACTCAAAAGACAATATTCTTAATATCGACTTAAGAAATCCTCAGAGAGTAACATATTTGTCAAATTACCTCATTCTTCTGAGGACTGTCACTATATATTATGATAGCAAATTCTATCATTCTTTCATAGATACAAGGCTTGTCACATTTAATTGTATTTTAATGATGTTGGTTTAAGTCTTCCAGAAATGTGCCTCTCTGTAATGGTTTTGTTTTCCCATAATGGTAACTAATATACTAAACACTGGATGATGCAATTTTAACTAGAGGGCCATTTATATGATATATGAGCCTTGCATGTTTCTTATATTTCTTTCCAGAAATTCAGCTTCCTGAATAAAGTAATTCTCTCTTTCATCTGTGTCTAAGATAGTGTTTGACTAGACACAGAAATTGATTAACATTAGAAAGTAAATTACCAAGAATGTATTTAAATAATTTTATTTGGCCTGAAACACAACAAGATCTGTCAACTTCCAAAGACTTAGAGACGTGTTAGGAAGGGGATCAAGGTGAGAATAATTTATTTATTGTAAGAAGATGGACAAATTTATAGAATTAGAGATTGGATTATACATCACTATCCTGTGACTTCTGAATATTTTTTGAAAAAAGGAATAGACTCAAGTATTAAACTGATATGAAATCAATGAAGTATAATCATTCCACCATAACATGTATGGATTGAATCAATCAAGACCATTAATATATTTTAAGAACACAAGAAAAACTTATTTTAATTGTTACATTATGTATTTAAGTAAGCACAATCAATTATTTTGATAAACTGAAAAAACATTGGGCACTGAACTTATATCTCACTGGAAAACTTTCTGGCAAAACAGAAGCACTTTTAAATCTATATCAGCACTTGTCCTCCTGCTCCGTTGCAGCTGCGAGCAAGCAGAAGTGGGCCTGCAGCCACGTGGGCTCCTGATGCACGTGCTGTCAGTGCTGTCACTGCACGGCAGGTGTCAAGGTGTGGATGGCCTGGCTGCACGGGCCCTGAGGTAAGCCAGTGTGGGGCACATGGGGCGGCTCCACCATCACCTCTCCGCGCCTTGTGGCTGCAGCACTGCAAGCAACTAGATGGAATGGGAGGGCGGGTGACTGTGCAGGCTTATTTTGTGGGTAGGACTTATTTTTAGGAAAACAGGGTATATGAATTGCAACTCTTTTTGATAATTTTGCCAGAGATATAAATAAATTAGTACACATCTTATCTTTGGCTGGCAATGCTTTTTGTCAATCACCAAGAAACTCTTACAGGGAATTTTCAGATGATTCACACTTGCTAAAGCATATAAACTAAACTAGTACAGAAAACTAATTCAGCTTTTATAATTTAGCCACTAACTTTGTTATTGCAGAATAGTGAAAAAAAAAATAAACTACTTCATTTATTAAAACTTATTCTTTAAAAGTGCAGATAATCATGATGGTTGAAAAATGAATAATTCAAGAATAATGAAGAACATTGTAAAGATTAGAGTTTAATCAATACCCAATTATTTGTTTGATAAACAATTACTTCAAATATGTGCTTAGACAGGAATGTTTACTATTTATGTTAAACACGTTTGCATTTCTTTTCTCTTCCTCACCCCCAAAATGTATCCCCCTAAATATATTACTCTTTGGGTTTGCCATGGATATATTTTGTTTTATTATTCATACTCATTATTGTAGATTTAATTTCTTTTTCAACTCCTCAGTTGGGTTGCAGAAAAGAATATCAAATTTGAATTGCCTGGGTTTCTTCCTTTATCCTGGTCTATAATGTTGCATGCAACAGTAGTCAAAGAGTATGGGGAAAAGGGGACAATAATTATATATTTAATTTCCTTGAAGTTTTTGGCTTTTCATCCCTGTGCTCCAAGTCTGTTAACTATTAGATAGCAAAGTCATTTCATTACACAATGTTATTAAAGATGTGATATGTGCAGAACAAAATTATTGAGCACCTCATGAAACCAGCATGCATATGCTTCGAAGCTTGACAATTATGCTGTGAGTCTGATTTTGATCATAAGGCATTTCTAATGTTGACAACAATTCCTAAGATCAGGTTTCTCTTTGATACTGTGCCTATAGAATGATCTAAACAATTAGCTTCAGAAGGATAGTTCTGTATCATATTTTACATAACAAGTTATGTGGTCCTCACTTCTAAAACTCACATTAAAAGTTAGTATATATTGCAGAAATGGAAGGGAAACTATGGTATAAATGAATCACACTTTTTTAAAAAAAGTCTTATACTGCTCCTTGAACAGTGGCATTTAAGAGGTTCTCCTGTGATCAAGTTCAAGGATTCCATAAAATTACTAGAACTCAAAACTCTCACCCTAAAGTCTCACTTTACATATTTAAAGAAAGGCAAGAGAAAGAAAAGCTTTAATGAGTAAATTGGATAGCACTACAGACTCATAAAAAACAAGCATACACAAGACCAAATTGGGTAAACAAGATTGTGAATGATGTTGTTTAGACTTTATATCTAGTTGAAAATGTTCATTATCCATGGTTCAATGATACTAATGGAAAATGGACAGGGAAGCCAACCCTGAAGAGATAAGAAGGACAAAACAATAATTTATAGCCATTCAGTCTTGGGTGCCATGAAGTGTAGTATGTAAGTATCTTCAATTAAATATCCTCAGATGAGGGATCTAAGAACAAATTACAATACACACTTTCCAACTTATCTTCATTAGAGCCGTGGTGGCACAGTCGTTAGAATGCAGTATTGTAGGCTAGCTCTGCCCGCAGCCAGGAGTTCGATCCTGACCAGTTGACTTAGCCTTCCATCCTTCTGAGTTCGGTAAAATGAGGACTCAACTTGTTGGAGGCAATATGATGACTCCCTAAACCGCTTAGGCTATAAAGCACTGTGAAGCAGTATATAAGTCTAACTGCTATTACTTCCTTTGCCCTATGAGGGAGGTGTCTATCTGAGTTGCTTACAAACATTACCTGTTTGTTGTGGAAATGAAATATTTCCACAACAAATATTCACCCTAGCAATGAATTATACATATCTCCATCAAGATCATCTTCTTTACTTTCTACACAATGTAACAATACCAAAGGGATTGAGACTGGTTCTGAAAATGTTCAATGTAAAAATGCAGTAAATAGATATTAAGGAAACATGGGGTTTTATAAAAGCACTTTTACAATTACTATTGTGTCACAAGACATTAAATTATTTTAACAAAATCAATGCATAGGATGAATGGATGATTTCCTTCCCAACTCTGCACATTCTTAATTAAATTTGACAAATCACTTCGAATGCAGATGAAACTAGAACAAACTTCTTTCAATGAATCGTATGAATCCCGTTTTTACCTAAGGAGACATTACAAGACTGCGGTTGTAAAATGTCACTGGTCTTCTGACACCATTTTGCACTGTGAAGCATTAGAAAATTACCAACCTTGTAACCATCTTATAGTTTCACAAGCAATTCAATAATGTCAAGAAGCAGTGTAAAAAGCTCTGTAAGGAGATTTCAGTAAATTTGTTTATCTACAAAGAAGTGATGAATTTAGCTTGTTTATTTATAATGCAGCTTTCTATGGTTGTTCCTTATGATTAAAGCTAATACTTGCCAAAATTAAGTTACTTTACCGGCCATTAATTTAAAGTGCTGGTTTCACTTCTATTGGTACCTGTGCATTCTCTTCTTAAATCCAGCACTGACTCTTATTTTTGTTATCTACTTAAACTGCACTATACTTACAAGATTTATAGTTCACTGTACTTGCCCATTAAGTGTTCTGATTCAATTTCACAAAACACTTCATGATTGTCAGGCTCATTATTACTACTTTTCCTGATTGTCTAGAAATATTAGGGCTACATCTACCACAATTTCCAGGTGGCTGAGAAATCAGATAATTGTAATCCTAACACACCTAGAGGGTAAAACAGTTGTAGAAAACTAGTTTGATTGCGTGTCTAAAGTCTGATCTTGTACAACATGGATCCCAATAGGCTTAGATATACTGCATAGATCTGCCCTGTGGTAATATTTGAAGAGCTAGTAACATATAATGCCCATACAAGTGATAAGAGGGAAAGGAAGATAGCTTCTGTTATTCATCTATCTACAGTATCTATCCAAACCCTGGATGTCAAACAAAAGAGCTTCTATAATTAACATCTAAACTGCAATGCCTGAAGGAAAAGCCAGATGTTTATGGCCTTCTGAAAGATCACTAGAGTCAGGGCCATCTCTAGGAAGAGACTCTTGCATAGGGGAGGCACCATGTCAGAGAAGGAACCCTTCAAGCAATTCTGAATGCTCACTATGGTAGATCTAATGGAATGGTCAGAAAATATATGGGAAAAGAAGTCCTGGACCCATGTACAGTTTTAAAGGTGACAACCAACACCTAGAAATGCCTACT